CCCAAAATACATGGCGCCCGAGGTTTTAAACAAAGAAAAATACACAAAAAGTTCAGATGTGTTTTCTTTTGGAATTACCATGTATGAAGTGTTTGGTTGGTGCGATGCATATCCAAAACAATCATTCAAATTTCCATGGAAAATAGCCGAGTTTGTTATGTCCAAAAAACGTCTTGATAAAAAAGAGAGCATCCCTGATAGTCTGTTTGTATTAATACAAAACTGTTGGAAACATGACAAAACTGAAAGAATTCAAATAAAAAATATTACAAATATACTTGAAAAGGATGTATCTAACAATTGATAAATCATAACTACTTTTAATTTGATGTTTTTTGGTAACCATTTTTATTTATAAAATATGAGTAAATGATAAATTTGTAACACAATTTGGTGTTATTTACAACAAATAGAATTTATAACATTTTAATTTTAAAAAATAATTTTGTAATTTGACAAACTCCAATAATAATTTTTAAATTAAAATTTAACTCATTAGTTAAATATTAGTCACTTGATGACGAATATGACAAATCCGAAGAAGAAGAAATGGAAGAAGAGTCCGAGTCTGATGACGAGTATTCCTCTGAAGAATCGGAAGAGTCAGATTTTTTGTGTTTATCTTTTTTCTTATCTTTCTTGAAGTCCTTCTTTTTGTCTTTCTTCTTATCTTTTTTGCCATACTTATTATCTTCTATTTTCACTTTGCCGTCTTTTTTTACTTCTAAGGTGACTTTTCCACACTTTTGTCCACCATTAGTGACTATTTTAACAGTTTTCTCAAGTGTTTTTCCTTGTGTATTTGGTTTGACTTGACCTGACACTTCTTCTTTTTTGACGTATTGAACGGGGATTTGTTGTGGCGCTGTCTGTTGTTGTTGCATAAATTGCATTTGTTGAGAATAGTCCATTCCACATATATCAGGCATTGGTGGATACATTTGTGGTACTTGTTGTTGGTATTGCTCTGGCATCATTGTAACTGTTTGTTGTGTTGTTGGTACACTTAGAGGCATTGGTGGGTATGGGTACATTTGTGGGTTAAATGGTGGCATTTGTTGTGGTATATGGCTTTGATTTTGATCATAAATAGGAGGTTGGTATTGTGGTGTACCTAAAGGAAGAGAGTAATTTGGTTGTTGGTAAGTTTGGTAATTAGGATTTGATTCCATGTAATTTGATGGTGAATTATGAGATGTGTTGTTTATTAATCTCTTTAATTTCATTTTTTATAAGAATTTATTTAACAATCAGTTATTGTATATAAACTGTTAGCTATTTAAAATAAAACAATTGGATCTCTTGTTTTAAAGAATTATACAGAAACGCATCAATTAAACGTTTAAAATAGTATTAAAATATAATAAGTATATAGTAAAGATACAATACACATAAATATTTACAAAAAAAGAACACGACAATGTTGAGAATTCAAAAAGAATAAATAACTTTTAAAATAATATATAAAATTTATTGTTTTTTTACACACAACAATTAATTAATTTGAAAATAATAATATATTTTAATCATTATATAATAAAATTGTATTATATTGAAACAATAGTTGATAAACTTAAATATACACAATATGATTATAAGAAAATAAATTGACAACTAAATTGAATTATAATCAGTTTAAAATAAAATGTTGTTAGTTTTTAAAATTAATATAAAGTCGACCAGAAAATTGTCGTACACTTCCAAAAATAAAATATATTTTTTTTAAAAAATAATTTTACTCAAAGAAATTTCATTTTTCACTTTGATTTTATTAACTGATTCTTTTTTGATCTTTTTTCTTCCAAATGATGCTTTAAATCATTTTTGATGTATTTTTTTGTTCTTTTTTACGAAATTAAATTCTTTAAAAATTTATATGTTGTTAAGATTATCATTTTTTATAAATTGTTTTTTTGTTTATATGTAATTATTGTTATTGGCAAGTATAGTTCGGTATAGTTCGAATAGTTTACAACGGTGTCTGATATTTTTCGAAACGTGTTTTTTAAACAAAGTTCATAAAAATAGAACACCAATGATACCACCATATCTACTCAACTCAACTTTCATATCTTAAATGAACAACGGTGACTCATCGATTAACAAGTTTTTAGCATTACTAATGTGGCACTTAATTATTTTAATTACATAATCAAAATTTTGAAGAGTGAACTTGATATTTTTTTCAAAGTTCGTTTTTTGATGTTCTTATCGAAAGTAAATAATATGAAAATATTTCAATATCAACACATTCAAAAAACTGTCCTGAAAATTGTTTGTTCAAGGACTAAACTATAACGATAGACGTGCAAAGCTGATATGAACCGTATTATTTATCATTTATGTTTTTTGTAAAATTTTAAGAAAAAACAAGCACTTATCAGTGACAATAAAAACATATTTTAAAGCATAAAACCCGAAATTGTACTGTAGCTGAAGTATAATTTTTGTATCATTATTCAAGTTGTCATAAAACAAAACTTGATAAAACACAAAAAATTAAAACAACTTATTACAAAGTTAAAACCATTTCTTTATGATTATCAAATGAACATTTTCACTGTTCAAATAATCTTGCTTTCACAAAATCATGACTTTAGAACCGATGGTTAAATACGAACCATAAACACATAACAAATTATTTGATAAAATGTTATAATAAGAACTGGGTTGCTTTTATAATTGACCAACTTTTATTGTTTTTGATAACATCAATTAAATTATAAACATGACATTAACTTAATAAATGAAAACATCGGGCGCATTTTATAAGTGTTTCCTTGGCTTTTAACATTAAAAAAATACACGAGAAGATATCGAAAAAATGTCTGATCCGACCAAAAATATCAACAATATAGTAAATGAATATAATTTTTTTTAATTATTAATAACTATATTATACATATAAATAAAACAGGTGATGTTTTTTTTTGAAAACAACAATAGTAATATTTATTAAACAATTATAGTATATAATTAATGTCTTTTTGTAAAATTTAACATTAAAAGGAATAGTTTAATTGTTATATTAAAGCTATTTATTATTAACATTCAACATAACCCCATAATTATAAATTAAAATATACATTCAATTCAAAAGATAGAGAAATACATAAAACGTAATTGAAATGTTTGTGAGGTGGGTTTGGTTTAACTTGGATTGTTTTCATAATGTAATAATTATAATTAATGATTTCAATAATGACAAGATTGTTAAAATTTGTAATAAATTGTGGTTATCTAAATTCTATGTAAATAATACTGTTAATAATAACATATTAAAATCATTAATTTACATGTTAATAAATAAAAAATATACTAGTTTAGTTCGAATATATATAAAATAATTTTATATACTATTAAATATAATACAACAATTTTTAATTAACATTATTATTTCAAATTGTTTTATAATAATGTATTAAAATTTTATTATTGAATATAGCACATTTATCGTTTTTTCGTTAATTAAACCACCTATATTTTGGAATAAACAAATGATTTGTAATTTAATAGTTTATTGATGGTTAATAAATGGTTTATAAATGTTTTATTCTCTAAACAATTTGAATCTTTTTATACATTTCAATAAAAGTTCAATGTTTTTGATTTGAAATCAGCTTCGAATTGTTTCTTATATCGAGAAAAGTACAAAGAAATTTTTATTAACTTTTCTTTAAAAAAATGTAATTTATGTACACAAATCTATTTTAGGAAGTGTACGAGTATTTTCTGGTGTACGACAATTTTCTGGTCGACTTTACTATAGTTAATTACTATATAAAACTATGTTTATAAATAAATTATGTAAATATTATATCAATGTAATAATTATTTGGTTAGATCACTATATAAAAATCAAATCAATAACATTGTTTTTGTAATAACACAACAATTTAATCATTTTGAATGCGACAAAAAACGATGATAAACTTAAATTAATTTTTGTTCAACACCAAAAACAAAATTACCAAAACTGACATTTTCTTTGTCTTTAAAAATCACTTTGGTTTTGTGAATTGAATTAAAAAAACAGAAACTGTCAACTCTTTTTACAGTTATGGGTACATTTATAATATCAACTTTCTTGTAATTTTTAAAACAATATTCTCCGAGTTGGACGACACCATTTGGTATAATCCCACTTTTAGTGTTGTCATTTTCAACAATTTTTAAATATTTTTGAATGTCACTTTTAACAAAGAAAATCTTGTTGCATTTCAATAAGTTTTTCATAAACATTTGAGCAACATGATATGAAACTGGAAAGTCAATTTCTTCTATTTTGTTTCCATTAACTGTAATTGTACTCAAGTTTTCACAATCAAAAAATGCTGTTGGAGATATGTTTAAAACACTTTTTGAGAATTTCACGCATTGTAGTTTTATGCATTTGTGAAATGAAAAGTCATCAATAAATGTTACAGAACTAGGAATTTCGATTTCTGATAAATTTGAACAGTTTTCAAAGCACCTTTCTCTGATTTTTTTCGTATTTTGTCCAATAACAATTTTTGAAAGTGAATAACAATTTGAAAATGAGTTGTAATTGAGCGAAGTTGCGCTGTTTGGCATAACAATTTCTTTTAAAGAAGTACATCCTTTAAAAATGGAATTAATTTTGGAACACTTTCGGTCATTTTCAACTACATTTACATTTGTTAACATAAAGCATTTCAAAAATACATTTTGTTCTTCAAATACATTTTCAGGGAAAGTCGCTAATTTTAGATTTTCACAACATGCAAAAGCGCATTCACCAACAAAAGTCACACTTTTTGGAATGTCAATTTTAGTTATACCACATTCGGTAAAAGCCCAATTTTCAATACTTTTTAGACTTTGTGGAAGTTCAATGATTTTTAAATTTACACAATTTACAAATGCATTACTTCGAATTGATGACAAATTAGAAGAGAAAACTATTTTATTTAATTTGTAAAAATGATGGAAACATAAGATACCAACAGAATAGACAATATTTGGCATTATAAAAGTTGACAAGTCAATGTCATTTGTTGACATACTTAATGCTATTTTTACATCTTGTTTATGTTTAAACTTTTCTATAAAATTTAAAGGAACTTCTACGTTTGTGAATTTGACATGCAAATATCCAAAATATTTCATTTTGTCAAGACTTATAAGACCATCAAAAGGCCTGTGTCCCCTCATTAATACACTCTGAAGTCTGTCACATTTATCAAATATTCTTTGTCCAATTTTTGTCAAAGTTGTTGGAATTGTGACTGAAATTTGGTGATCTCCAAAAATTTCATCTCCAACTTCTTTAACATTTCCCAAATCAATTTCACAAATTGGATTTTGACCAAAAAAGTTATTGCCTATTTTTGTAACATTCGATGGGAGTTTCAACTTTTGTAATTCCTTTCGATAAAAAATCATTCTTGATAAATCACAACTTATTTCAACGGGAAAATTACACTTTTCTATTTCTTTAAATATAGCAACCCCATTTGTTGCTGTTGAATTAAAAATAACGCTATCATATTTATAACCAAATTTATCCAACAATTGTGTTTCTTCTGATGTAGGAACAAATTTAACTTTTCTGTTATTATGTGGAAGTTTCAGTTTTGTGAGTGATATACAATTTTCAAAACAGCCAACACCAATTTCTACATCTTCACAAAATGAAAGTTCTTGAAGTAAACTACAATTTTTGAAACATTCGTTTTCTAATTTAGTCACTTTATTGAGTCCAAATATATGTTTCATATCAGTAACACTGTTATATTGATTAGTGTAAATATCGTGTATATTTGGGGCAACAAATAAAGTCTGTTTTGTTAAATTTATATTTTTCATTGCATTAATACTATATCAAAATAAAATCCCAAACAGAACACCTTTATTATACATTTGAAATAAATAAGATATTATTTACTGTTTTATAATTGTATGATAATTTATTATAAACTATATTTATAGTTCATTTAAACTATAGCAATTTATTATTAATAAAATAACAACAAAACACAAACCTTTTCATCTGTTAAATTTTGACTTTCAGTGTCTTCCAAATCATTTTCGAGATTTTCATCGACACGAGGAAACATTTCATAAAAATTTTGAACGATATTACCATCATACTCGCTGTATTTGTATTTGACCTTTCCATCCAAAATTGGAAGTACCAAATTAGTCAAACTAGTGCAATTAATAAAATCGTCTCCTTCAAGTTCACAATTTGCACTGAACATAAGTTCTTTGATTTTTTCACACCCTTCAAATGCGTATTTTTCGATATGTTCGACATTCTCATGAATTTTTATCATTTCAAGTGAAATACAATTTTTGAATGCAGACATTTGAATTTTTGTTAAATCATTTGGGAGCACAACGTAAGTCAAATTAGTGCAATTTTCAAAGACTGATGCACATAGTATTTTGACACTTTCTGACACTTTCATTTCTTTCAACTGTTGGCAATTAAAGAAAGCGGAATCTTCTATATAAACCACCGACGATGGAATTTCCATTTTTTCAAATCCACAATTAGAAAAAGCGCTTTCACAAATTCGTGTAACAGAAGAAGGAAAATTAATCGAAGTCAACTTTGTGCATCTGTTGCAAAAGTATTGAGGAAGGGTGTGTATCCCTTCACACAGTGTAATTTTTTCAAGATGTAAATTTTCTTGGAATACAAAGTCTTCGAGGAGAGTGACGTGGTGGGGCACTTTAAATTCGATGACATCAAATTTGTTGAGAACATTAGCGCTGTAAATTTTGATGTGTTTGTCATTCAAAATCTCTTCTAATTTGTCGACGTTTTCTAAGTCGGAATTTGAAATTCGGATGTTTTTAAACGTGTAAGTTAAATCGTTCTGATACGATTTTGCGTGTGAGTAACATACGGGATACCACACTACATAATTCTTCACTGAAAATATTTTGGGGTCAGTCAATTGGTATAAGTGCTGTGTTTCCATATACGGAAATAGCCTTTTACATCTGACTTGTATTGGGTTGTACCTAAAACGGTCTAACACACATTCAAATTTCTTGCAAACGAGAATCGAGTTAACAAAGTCATCGGAGAAGAAAAGGTATTGGACGACAATTTGAAAATTAAATGCGTCTAATTTGGAAGACATTTAAATGGTATTCAAGTTCCAATTCATTTGAATTGACATTTTCTCGAATTAATTACGACAAAGTGAACTTTAAAATAAAATTTATTAAATAACTATTTAATTATTTAAATGTTATAAATTTTATATTAAATTTGAGAATTTAATAATAATCATGATAAAGTTGGTTTTGTTTTGTCTTTATTATAATTTGTTGTTCATTCATTTTTAAAATATAAGGATTTAACAAGCATTTTATGTAATTTTAAAATATTAAAAACTTGAAATATGCAATTTCGAATAAGTTTACAAAAAGACGATTATATTATATAATAAAAACATGTAAAATTGTAAAATATTAGATATTTAGTTTTTGTGCTAATTTCATAAACATACTAAATACTTGTCGGTTTTGGGTTAGTTATTTGGCACCAACATCCGTTCATATAATTTACACAATTTATTTAGATACAGAAGAGTTACAGGGGATAATAAACCGTTTCAGTTTTTAAACCTATTACTGTCGTTCTTAGTTATATATAATAAAAAGAAAATTAATAGTATAATACAAATTACCACATTAGACAGAGAAAATATTTATTAAGCATATATTGCTTAAATGATAAACAATACTATACATTTAAGAATATTGGTATTATTTGAATTTATTGAAATAAGTGGTAGTAATTAAAAAAATAGTAAAGGTTATTTTTATTTAATTTGTACTTGAATTACATGTATAAAATCTTGAAGCATTTTTATTAACAAAGTGCCCATCCTTCACACATTGAGTAAACTTATCAACTTGTGTGATATTCTTTGTGTATTTGTTAAACACAATGGCGTTGCATGTCGTTTCATTTCCTTCGTTTTTCCACAATTCTGGTGAAATAAGATGAATCTTTTTGTTGTGATTTTTAGCGTATTTATACATCAAAAATCCGAGTGCTGGATCTGCACTGGAGGTTGGTGGCATACAATAATAATTTTTCCATTCAGCAAAAAACTTGGACAAACTTCTTGAGTATATTGCCAAATACCCCGAAGGGTATATAAAATACCTTGCATATCGTTGTGCGAGTAAATCGTAACACTTACTTGTTATATCGCCATTTGGTTTGTTGTTGTTAAACTCCCCAACAACCGTTTCCTCTTCTGGAAGTGATATTAAGACGTCCATCAACATTTCAACGTTAATCATTACATTATCATTGACTTTTGCATAGAATTTGTAATCTTTGAATGTATCAAAAATGGTGACAAATGACGCGATGTCTTGTTGATGACGTGTTTCATTTTTCTCTTCGAGAAGTGGCATGTTGATAAAATAAATATCTTTGGTTGTCGCATTCATTCTTTCTAAAAAGTCTTTTTTGCCATTTTGTTCAACTGATTTTCTTACAATTAAAAAGACGCATTTAAATCCAAATTCCTTTTGATATCTTGACTGACACCACGTATTTCGCGTGTTTTCCATGTCTGTAATTCTTGTTGAAGATGTATGAATCATTGTCAATAACATTTTTTGTGGATACTCTGTTTTTGATTTGTGTAGTGGTTGATTAAAATCAAAATCAGAATGGGTGTATTCAAAAATTCGATACGTTTTTGGATAATTTATATCAACGCTGAAATTATTACCATAAATCGTTTGGACGTATTTTAATTCTTTTTGTAAATGGTTGTCGCGATTTTCTATATAGAAAACGTCTTGATGATCGTCAAATGGAGAAGTCAGTTGTTTGAAAAGTGTTGGCATGGGAAGAAACACACTACGAATAAAAAACACCAGAAAAAGCAAAACAACTACAACAAGTAACAGAAAAACAACATGAAGTGGTTTTACAAACATTATTATTTAAAATTTTTAGTTTTTTAATAATTATACTTAATTTAATTATATTAATTACTTTATGTTATAGTAATACTTATTATCGTCAGTAAAAAAATACTTGTATTTCTTCGATATTTTATAAAAATATGTTAGTAAAAAGGCTGAAAAACTGATGTTGCAATAAGTGGGTAATAAATGGTAAAATGTTTTTTAAATATTATTTTGTTATTTGTTTTTTTCTTTTTTCAACAAAAATAAAACCATCATTTTCTCTTTGCCTATAGTGGGTCCATAAAGTGGTCAAAAACCATAAGCCAATCAAAGAAATTAATAGAATTTCTTTTGGAACCAAATGTATAACATAATTCACTTAAATTATTTGTTATTATTTTTGTTGATAACCCTTGATATTTTGATTTTTTGTGACTTAATGGGACAAGCAATAAAATTTCAATACTCAAAACAATATAATCCTGTTTTTACTCATAACAATTAATTTTATTAAGTTTTAAATTTATGATAAAAAGATCTAACTTTTAGAAAGTATTAATTATTATAACAATAAAAACTTAATAAAAATAATTCATTAAATTTTATGATAATAGCTGTTCGGCGACTTTATAATCACTTTGAAAATCGCCGACTTTTCAGTTGTCTTAAAAGTCGCTGACATTAATATTTAGTTAAATAACTATTCAAAATACTATTATCATTATTTTTGTCATTTTTATTACATTTCCTAAATTCGAAAAAATAAAAAAAACAAAAATCATATCATTAAATTAATAATGTCGACGCATCATTTAAAATATAAACAAGTTTGAATTGCATATCAGAACAATACAAACCAATTTTTGATTTCGTGAAGTCTCAATTTTCGAGAATTCGTTAATAATGAATCACACTTGAATTTTCAAGGTTTTTTTGTTTTTTTTTCATTTGTTTTAATGGTTTAAAAATAAATGTTATTTTAATTACTCTACAGACATTGTAAGGTTAAAGAATAGAAATTCGATTTCGAATTTGAATCAAAAAACAGTTTTCAGTTCTAACCATCATTCATAACATAGTTTGATTTTTATTTATTGTTTTATTAATATAATTTCCCAAAAACGCAGATATTTAGATATTTTATTAACCTTTTGAGTACTGAAAAAATTAAAATTTGTAAAAATGAAAATCTTAGTAAATTGTAATGTAAATGTGACCTTTTTTCTTTAATTTTTTTCAAAAAAAGTTCTACTCCTGGAAAGATGGCTCTAGTAAATTAATAAGAGATATGTCCAAAAACACTTGAATCTTTGGAAACTTGTTTAGCATCAACTTCCCCAGAATCATTTAGAGAAGAAATGATTAACACTCTAAGAAAATGCAATTCATGAAATATAAATTTCTTATTCAACAATATGTAAAAATGGTTGAGTATAATTAATTTTTTATTTATAATATTTTAATGATTATTATAATTTTATAATTTCAATAATAGTTACTATATATAGTACTGGAATGAATTTGATTGGTCGGTTTTTTTTCACTCGCAATTTATCCTTAAAATGTTTTGACGTGGCAGCTCGAAAGCGTTCTATTTGATTTTTAACAAACAAAAATTACATAAAACATAAAAAAATCGGGAAACATGTCCTAATCGGAACTGCGCTAATTTTATTTTTTTCAAATTTTGTTCTATTTCGGGCTGTCAAAATTGACTCCCAAAGGTATACAGTGGCAATATTTTAGTACTTAATTTGGAATAAACCTGCTTAAGTGAGTAAATTTTGGTTTTATTTTTGGAAATAACAAAAAATTAAAAAAACTGAAATTATGTTATAAGACAAAAACATTTTAATAATAACAAATTATTTTTTATTAAAAATATAATTTTAATAACATTTTAATAACATTTTTATAACAAAAAAAAGAAAAAAACAATTAATTTAAATTTATTTCATGACATTTGCAAAACTTGGGCTATATGTTGATTTGTTCTGGTGAAGATTTTATGATTTTTAAAGTCCTTTTCAAGTTTAAACACTGTTTTTTAATGCTTTGAGCGGAAAACTTGTCGAATCCAGAATTAATTTGGTATTTGACCGAAAAGTGTATGATTTTTACATTTTTGTCTAAAAAACGACATTTTACGATTTACACAAAATGTAACTTATTTTTTGGTCCAAATGTTTCTTTAAAACAGTTTTCAACAAAAGTTCAAAAGTTTAATTTAAAAATACCGACTTTGAAGTTTATAAATTAAAAAATAATAAATTCAATTTCAATCCAAAAAACTCAATTCTTCGTATTATTACGTTTTTTTATTGTTCCTTAAATGTTCTTTTTGTTATTGTTTTTGTTTGAATTCTCGTCTTTATTTATTCATTTGTTTATATTTTTTATATTTCTTTCATCTTCTTTTGAGTCTTAACAACAACTGATATGAAATATTTTTTTAATGTTATTTGTTAAAAAACAATCATTGAAATAATGTACACAAAAAAGACCACAAATCCAATCCGGCTTTTATTTTCTAGCTAGTCCATTGTGTTCATTATTGTTCTTTTTTCACTTTTTGAACCTTTTTTGAGCTTCTTTTTGTCAAAAGAAAATACTTTTCAAAACGAATTTTGTAAAACAAAAGCTATATTTTAAGTTTATTTTAATTAAAATAAAAAACCATTTCAAATATTTTTTTCCTCAAGCAAAATCGACTTTTTTCTCAAAAAACAAGGAAAAGACCCAATCAAAACCATTTTCCTGTTTATAAAGGGTGGTACAGTGCCTAAAATGGGTGGGCGACTTTTAAAGTATTAGGGCGGAAATAGTAAAAATTATGAAGCCCCCGTTTTTTCCTTAATTCGAAGAAAATGTTATTGTTTTTTGTTTTATAAAACACAAAATTTATTATTGTTTTTAATAACACAAAAACTTTTAATAACACTTTGTAAAAACAGCAATTCCAATTAATCTAATTAATATTTCAAGTTCCAAAAAAATCAACAGCTTTTCTTCTTTGGCTTTTCTAAAAAGTGAGTAAACAGTTTCTAATCGACAAGACAAAACAAACTTCGCAGTAACGTTTCTTTTTCTCTGTTTTAGAATTAGTTTTATTCTAGTTCCAGTTTGGAATAAATGATTTTTGATTTTAGTAAATTTAATTATAAAAAACTATTCAAGAAAAAATCAATTAAAATAAAGTATTTTCATCATTTCTGGAATCCATATGTTTAAGAATTCATCGTGATTGAACAACTTAAATTCAATATCGTTGTTGCGGTATTTTTCGATTGAGTACATTACTCTGTATCCACATTCAAAACCATTTGGTTGAATTGGAACTTGAATTTTTTTAACATCATTTATTTTTCAATATTTTCAATTTCCTCCCTTTTTCTTTTAAGATTTTCTAAATTCACCCATTTTTTTAAAATTTTGTTTTTTTTCTCAAAAATCGTTTTGATTGGCTAAATAATTTTTTCTAAAAATATTTAAATTATGATTTGAATTTTGCTCGAAAAATGGTCATAATCATTAGGGAGTTTTACTAAAGTCAGTGACTCACTTTAAAGGTCTCCCACCCATTTTAGGCACTGTACTTAAGTTTTTTCTATTTTGGCTTAAAGTTTAACCAAAGTTTCACAAAATTTTATCACTTAAGTGGGTTTATTCCACTACTTTACATGATATTTTTTATTTTTTGCCACTTCTTAAACAAAAAAACTGGAATTTGAAAGATCCTGTTTCATTATTATCAAAATAATATTTTTATTTATAATGTTATAATCTTTTTACATATTTCAAATATTTTTTTAAAAGTCTGTTCAAAAACATCATCCAAATTTTAAAAATTTTTACAAAATAAGTTTATAATATCGGAATTAGGAAAATCATTGAAACTTTCAATGAAAACCAAGTGAAAATTATAAAACAACATATTATAGTGTTTCGAACAGTTTCCCGAAATATTTCATAATATATGATCCAAAAAATTTACAGACAGCGTTTTTAGACAGACTATATATAGATTTCGTTAATAATATTGAACTTAAGATTATTTGAAGCTTCATTTTTATTTGAAACATAATATATTAGTTTTAAAACGACAACTCAATTATTTTTAAATTCAATACATTTATGAAATGCTATAATTCAATAGTTTTTGTTTTATTTAAAATTAATTTGAAATTTTGTTTATAATTATTAACTCAATATTTAAATTTCATGTTATGTCTGTTTTTAATAACAACAAAAATTCATGCTGCGACATCATGTGGTAGTGGGAATTACATTTCTGGATCATCTTGTTCTCGATGTCAAGCAGGAACTTATTCCTCAGATGGAAAAACAACGTCATGCACCTTTTGTCCTGCTGGAACTTATTCAAGCACTGGTGCTTCGTCATGTACAAAGTGTTCTTCTGGATTTTTTGCGTCAAGCTCTGGATCCGCTTCATGTTCACAATGTTCTTCGGGTACTTATAGTTCTTTTTCTGGGTCTACCTCTTGTTTAACTTGTGCCGCGGGGACGTATTCTGCTTCGGGATCTTCTTCGTGCTCAATATGTAATGCTGGAACTTATTCTAATAATAAATCTATGACATGCACAGTGTGTCACTCGGGGTATTTTTCAACAAAAGGATCTTCTACATGCACAAAATGTGATGCAGGGACTTACTCATCGTTATCAGGAGCATCTGTGTGCTCTAGTTGTCCAGCTGGATATTATTCCAATTCTGGATCATCGGGTTGTACACGATGTAAAGCTGGAACATATTCGAGCAGTAAAAGTGCTTATTGTTATGATTGTTTGGCTGGAACTTATGCAGACGAAATAGGAAGTTCAACGTGTAAATTGTGTGCAGATGGTTTTTATTCTCTGGCTGGATATTCGAAGTGTATTCAATGCTTTTCGATTAGTTGTGGAGTGTGTTCAAAAACGACAGGGGAGTGCACTTCATGTAATGTTGGCTATTCGTACGATTCGTCAAATAAAAACTGTTCGATATGTCCTGCATCGTATTATTCGAGTGGCGGAACTTCATTGTGTTCAAAGTGTGCGAATGGGTATTACTCACTCGGTGGTTCAGGTGGGTGTACAACGTGTTCCGCTAGTTGCAAAACATGTGACCAAACAAATGGAAATTGTTTGTCTTGTTATGACGGTTATATTCTGGATAATGGTAAATGTGAAATTTGCCCAGCTGGAACTTACCAAAGTGGCAGAATTTGTGTAATGTGTCCAGACATGCAATACTCGTTTGCAGGAAGCACAATGTGTAAAAGTTGCAGTTCAACTTGTCTGAGTTGTGATGATACGAATGGGTATTGCACGTCATGTG